TTCCATTTCTAGACTAAAGTTGCAAAGGTTGAGCTTGTCTTACCATGATTGTGGCTGTGGCAGTGGCATATTCTCCACCTCCCCAACACTCTCCAACATTGGGACATCGAGCTTCCTCACATACCTGTAAGTAAAAGGGAACAGAATACAATCAGGTTGAAACTACCAACCAATTGAACAAATAGTGGTTCAGTATTGAGGCGCCCATTGTTTACAACATATTTCTTTTTAAATTCACTATTCAAAAATTCTGTTAAGGGGCTGGGGTTGTGGCTCAGCGGTAGAGTGCTCGCCTAGCATGGGTGGGACCCAGGTTCGATCCTCAGCACCACATAAAAACAAAGGCATTGTGTTGTGTCCATCTACACCTAAAAAAAAAAAATTCTGTTAAACTGCCAAACCATATATTAAGATCTCATTTTTAAATTGAAAAGTATACAAATATAAATATTTTATATGTTTAAAGAAATTGGTCTGAGTCATGTATGGTGGCCCACTCTTGTAATCCCAGTGGCTAGAGGGGCTGAGGCAGAAGGATCACGAGTTCAAAGCCAGCCACAGCAACGGCGAGGTGCGTGAGCAACTCAGTGAGACCCTGTCTCTAAATAAAATACAAAAAAGGGCTGGGGATGTGGCTCAGTGGTCAAGTGCCCCTGAGTTCAATCCCCAGTACCAAAAAAAGAAATCGGTCTAAAATGATATACATTAAACAGTTAAGGGGTGTGGTTAATAGTTGAGATTTTTCATATTTAATTTTATACTCTTTCCAACAAACATATAATTTCTATTATAAAACCAATAGGCTGGATACAAGCTGGGTGTGGTGACACAAGCCTAAATCCCAGCAACTCAGGAGGCTGAGGCAGGAGGATTGGAAGTTCAAGGCTAGCCTCAGCAACTTAGCAAGGCCCTAAGGACTTAGCGAGACCCTGTCTCAAAATAAAACATAAAAAAAGGGCTGTGGGGCCAGGGTTGTGGCTCAGTGGTAGAGCACTTGACTAGCATGCATGAGGCACTGAGTTCAATCCCTGGCACCACATAAAAAAATAAACAAATAAAATATAGGTATTGTGTCTACCTACAGCTAATATATATATATATATATATGTAAAAAAAAAAAAAGGGGGCTGTGGATGTGGCTCAGTAAACAACCCTGGGTTCAATTCCCAGTAACAAAAAAACAAAAACACCAAGCTGGGTACAGTGGCATGTGCCTGTAGTACCAGCCACTTGAGAGGCTTAGGTGGGAGGACTATTTGAGTCTAGGAGTCTGAGGCTAGTCTGGGAACAGTTTTTATTTGTCTCAAAACAAAACAAAAACCTTTGTTTCTCTAGTTGCAGGGAAAAATCTTGTTTTGTACTATTAAATGAGACATTAATATAATCACCCTTTATTTCTTTTGCAGGAATAATTATTTTAAATGATTTTTATTTGTTTGCTTTGGGCAGTGATGGGGATGGAACCCAGAGCCTTGAAAATGCCTAGGCAAGCACTCTATCAGTGAGCTACAGCCTCAGCCTCTAAATAATCCCCCCACCCCCAATATTGAGGATTGAATCCAGGGCCTTGCATATGGTAGGCAAATACTCTACCATTGAGCCATACCTACCCCCAATGTATTTTTATCATTGGTAATAATGCATTACTTAACGTTTTCATTCATTTTCCTTTGCTGTATTTATATATGAATTAATAATTTCTAAGTTATAAATATGTATAAACATTTATAACCATGGATTAAGATTGACAACTTACTGTATGGAGATTTAAATTCCGCAAAGTATTTTTCAGTTTATTGTAATTTTTCCCCATGGGAATCTCTGTCTTTAGCCATGGAGGTAGTCTTAACCTAAGGAAAGCCAAAGATAACTATCCATTAACAAACAGGCAAACAAGTAATCACACAGCTTTGAAGTTACTTTGTTCTATTATAATTCTTAGTTAAATTTTTTTTCCATAATCCTGGATTAACCCTTATTAATTTCTGCTGTGGGCATAAGAACAAAGATTCAAATTTAGGATTCCTCAAATCACATTAGAAAACACTGATATTGGAATCTAACAGACCTTTTTATATATTTTTAAAATTTTTAAATTTGTTTTAATTAGTTATACATAACAGTAGAATGTACTTTGATATATCATATATAATGGAGTATAATTTCTCTGGTCCTTTTTGTTTTAGAGACAAGATCTCGCTGAGTTGCTTAGAGGCTCCATAAATTGCCAAGCCTGGTTTTGAACTTGCAATCCTCCTGCCTTAGGCTCCCAAGCTGCTGGGATTACAGGTGTGCATCACCTCGCCTGGTTACCCAAAGTAATATTAATTCACAGTAAGGAGAGATCCCAACTGTGCACTATCAGCTTATATTCTTGATTTTATGGTGGTGATTAAATGGCAAAATTCTAATATTTGAAATGGAATTAAGTATACTTGGTTTCACCATGACTTTACTACTTACTTATGATCTGGAAGTTGTTGGATAAATATTTTTCAAAACAATTTTCCATCTGCATTAAATTCTCATTATTCTTTTAAATTACAGCAAGGGAGGGAGAAAAGAGGAAATTAATTAGTTAAGGCGAGGTATACATAGATCTTATGTAAATTGACTGGGAGCAGTTAGATCATCAATACCCACTAACAATGAAAATTTTATCAAGGTCTAAATGGGTGTGGTGGTGCACACCTGTGATCCCAGAAGCAGCTCAGGAGGCTGAGGCAGAAGTATCATAAGTTCTAGACCAGCCTCAGCTAGGCCATAAGCAATTTATCGAGACCCTGTCTTGAAATAAAAACAAAAAGGGGCAGAGGGTGTAGCTCTCCGAAATAAAAAACAAAAAGGGGCAGGGGTTAAGTACCACTGAGTTCAATCCCTAATTTAAAACAAAACAAAAAAACAGAAAATCAAGAAAAGATTTCAGCATTCTCATCAACTTACATGTTCTCTCTTTTTTCTAATGACCTTTCACTAAATTAAACAAGCCTGAAATTAAAAATATACTCTAGGACTTGGTTACATCTGAAAATAATGCACAGTAAGGAATGGGACATTGAAATTATCTCAATTACCTTTCTCCTTTCTGGCGTTTTAAGTTTCCTTTATATTCCTCCCAGGTGCTCTTGTCTGCAAGATCCCCAGACAGAAAATCTTGAAGATCTGGTCCATTCTGTAAAAATTCTTTTTTTTTATCTGGCAAGGAACTTAATGACCTGATTGGACTGTATAAATATCTTCCAAATACCTAAAGAAAGAGTTCATTATGACATTCATTTAGTGGGTTCTGGGATAATTTAGTTTTAACCCATTATAATATCTAAAAGATAGCAGGTGCTATGGTGTATGCCTGTACTCTTAGAGACTAGGGAGAATGAGGCAGGAGAACTTTGAGTTTGAGGCCAGCTTGGACAATCTGGTGAGACCCCATCTCAAAATAAAAATTAAAAAGGACTGGGGATATAGTTCAGTGGAAGAGTGCCCCCCCTTTCATCCCCAGTAACACAAAAACAACAACAAAAAACCCCACAATAGAACAAATCTAAAAGGAAGGGAGAGTAAAAGCAAAGAAGTGACACAGGAATCATATCAAGTGGTTTACTGCTTACAAAATTGGAATCTAAGATTAAAGAAGAATCTAGAAGGAAACAAACCCAAAGAAGAATAGGAATGAACTTCTGAATACCAAGTTTAGAATAGATTTAAAAACCTTTGAAGTGTCTATCATAGATCACACTTTTATGCCCTTTTTACTTTACATTTTGAGACAGGGTCTTGCTAAATTGCTGAATCTGACCTTGAACTTGGTATCCTCTCAAATAGTTGACATTACAAGGGTGGGCTAAGGTGGCCAGGTTCACAGTACTAAAACTTCGTCTTTCAACAAACTTAAACTGCAGTAACTGAAGATGCCAAGGCTATACATTTTCTATTCCTGACTTGAGTCAGATATGTTTAAAAGGAAATTTGCAATAAATCCCTCTAGGTTTGTGTTTGGGGTAAAGTAAACATGTTAAAATGTAGTGCTAATATCTAGTTGGTTCCAGAAAACTGGAAGTAGTAAAACCAAACCTAAGCCCACCAGCCTAGTTTATGCTGGTTTCTTGGTTTTTGTTTGTTTGGGTGATGCTGGAATTGAACTACCCAGCACTCACACTTGCGAAGGACTCACTTTCCCTTTAAACTACAGTCCCCATCCCTGTTTCTGTGCTAGAACATGGCAGTTAACCAGTGCGCATTTGTCGAGTGTAAGAAACCACAGTATTTGACTTCTAGATCTGAATACAAACATGCACGAGACAGGCAAAACACTGTAAAATTAAAGGGATCTTCAACAGTTCAAAAGAAAAAAATATCTGTTAGAGCACTGCATGATTGGTAGTGCACTTATCCACGTCTACAGAGGGCAGGCTGTGTTCTCAGCTGCAAGAGTGGTGTCTAATATATAGGAAGAGCCCAACGATGTGGGTTGAGCGCTGTTGTGGTCCTTTAAATATAAGGAACAAACCACTCTAAGCAGAAAAAAAAAGACAAAACTAAAACCCCTCATCACCGACCCAGAGAGACCGTCAAACAAAACAAGATCAGGGACTACTTCATGGGGATGTCAGGAGAATTAAACGAGATAACACGATAAACGTTTAGAAAAGTGCCTAGCTGCAAGCAAAAGCGTTGGCCTTCATTACGGAGTGCTCTGAAGAGATGGGAACCCCTCACCCCACGCCTGCACGCTTGTCGCCCCGCTGCTCACCCGGAGCCCCAGGGTGCGAGCAGCGTCCCCGCCGCGTAGAGACATCGCCTCTTTAGACTTAGCAGGGTCGAGGGATCACCAATGCCAGGGAAAAGACTGATCGATAAACCGTCGCTCGGCTTATGACAATCACCAGAACTACTACTAAGCCCGTGTAGCTTGAACTGTTCCGCAATTGGCTGCTTTAGTCTTAGTGGCGTCGCGCACTCATTACGCAATACGCAGAGTCCTTACGGGCTACAAATACGTGATGACGAAAGACGCTCTCTCTTTCCCGTATCTACTGCGAGGTGAGGAGGATACTGTTTTCTGTGGGCCCTGAGAATCTGAAGCCATCGGCTCTAGGAAAGCTAACAGCATGGGTTTTGCGCTCTCAGTTTTTACCCTGATTGTCTTCCGGCGCGGCGAGTGCCGTATGGATCTGCTGGCGCGAGATGCGAGTTCTGTTTTGGGGCTTTAGGCCTAACCCTACCGCTCTGCCTTGCCGGGATGGCGCGCCGGGCTGGGATTCCAGGGTTGGGCCGACAGTGTGTTAGCCAGCAAGGCTTCGTAACACCTCTTTGGGGGCTGCACCTACCAGGCCCGGACGCACCGGAGGCCACTCTTAGTTTGGGTCATCTTATATTCTCCCACGTCTCCCGGCACTTTTCTGTGGGAGTGGAACTCTTTTTGGCGAAAACACTCCCTGCACTGGCCTGACTCCAAGTGTTTGTGTTTCAGAATGAAGACCATTCTCAGCAATCAGACTGTCGACATTCCAGAAAATGGTACGGTACTTGCGGTTTTTCTGATGGGTGTTTACTACGTGTTCCAAGCCTTCTGTAATCTCAGAATTCATTCTCTCTCGTAGTCGACATTACTCTGAAGGGACGCACAGTTATTGTGAAGGGCCCAAGAGGAACCCTCCGGAGGGATTTCAATCATATCAATGTGGAACTCAGCCTCCTTGGAAAGAAAAAGAAGAGGGTAAGGTGTAGATAACTTATGTTTCTCGTTCGGATGGTAGTTATCTATAATAGCATTAAATTTGTTTGCATGTAAAGTTTCCCAATTAAGAGCAATGTTTGGCTTTTAAGTTTAGCGTCCAAAATAAATTTTGCTTTAATGAGGTTGGAATATCAGATTCTGAATACAATATACTGTAAAGCTCAATATCTAGTAGTCATTATCAAAGCGGTTTTAATACTAATACAAGTTAAATTTATTTATGTGATTGCTTAAAAAGTAAGAATTTAAACCAGTAATGGGGATTTTTTTGGACTTGATTTTATTTTCCAGTGGTGAAGTTTGTTGCAACTTGTTTGGGAGTTTTCAACGTGAATCTGCGTGCCTTTGGTGTATAGCAATAAAAACATTTTGTCAAATGTAGGAGACTTTGTATGTGGTTGGATTTTCCCAGTTGAAAATCCTATGCTTTAATTGGGGTTAATTCTAGAATCTAGAGTAATTCGTTGGGGAAAAAAATGAACTGTTCTCCTTCAAGTCTACTTACTTATGGGAAGTTTTTGTTGTGTTACAGCTACGGGTTGACAAATGGTGGGGAAATAGAAAGGAACTGGCCACTGTTCGCACCATCTGTAGTCATGTACAGAACATGATCAAGGGTGTTACACTGGTAAGCTGACTGATAAAGACATTCCCCCCACTCCTTTATTTTACTTTTGAAAGTTTTCTGAGCTGTATTATGTGTGTGTGTGTGTGTGTGTGTATTTCATATATAGAGATAGATAGATACATGTCTATGGCCAAGAATGGATTATCTGGAAGAGTAGGCTGAGGGTGTGGAACTTTTTTTACTGTAGTGCTGGAGCTCAAACCCATGCTGGTGCCAAGTGCTCTATCACTGAGCCACATCCTTTTTATTTATTATTAATAGAAAATCTGCTATACTATAGCACATACATAGGCTTTGCTTACTAAATGGTAAGCCACCATTAGGACCCTATAACCCTGCCTGTTTCCCTAAATGCATGTCTGATGTCACTATTGATTTCAAGCCTCCCACCCCTAAAGTAAAGTTTGTGCTGACTTGTGTGTATGCATTAAAACCTGGTCCCTCTGGACTATACTTAATAAGGGAATCCTGCGCTTAACCTCTATTATGGACCTATTAAATATTTCTACTGCGTATCCCTGATTCCAGACTAAGTTCCTTGAAGGTAGAAGCCCTGTCATACTTGATATTCTCAGTTCTGCCATTAGTCTTAGTAAATGTTAGTCTGAAAATGCCGGATTTGGGGGGTTCTCATTAAAAGGTGTTAGCATTGTTTACTGTGGGCATAAAGGTAACAAAATAATTGCTTCTTTAAGAAGCTTTGCTGTCCAGAGAGGAAACATAAAATTGTGTACCTAGGGTGTACCAGTAATAAAAATGTTGTAGGAGGGTTGATACAGGTGTCAGTTGTTAGGAAACCTTGACAATGAATGCTATATAGTAACTGTTAAGTTTTTAAATTATAAGTAACATAAGCATCCTACTAAATTTTAAAGTGAATTTCTTTTAACTAGGGCTTCCGTTACAAGATGAGGTCTGTGTATGCTCACTTCCCCATCAACGTTGTTATTCAGGAGAATGGGTCTCTTGTTGAAATCCGAAATTTCTTGGGTGAAAAATACATCCGCAGGGTTCGGATGAGGACAGGTATGTTGTATGTGCCCTCAGATATAATTCAGAAATTGTAAGTCTTTTGAAGCCTGTTTTTTTGGGTTGGTTGTGACTATAAGTATTTCAGAATTGTCTAAGGATAACTTTGAACTTGTGATCCTCCTGCCTCTTTCCCAAATTTCTGGGATTACAGGCATGTGCCACCATATCTGGCTGCATTGTGATGTTTTGATGGACCTATGCATAAGTAGAATGATCAAATTAGGATATTTAACATGTTCATCTCCTATTTCTTGGTGATAAAAATTTTTAGATTCCAAAAAAATCTGTGGAGTAGTAGTTACTAGCCTACATTCTGCCTGGGTTTAAATTTCAATTCTTGCTTGGAGCATTTTGTTTCTCTGTAGCTTATTGTACTCATCTGTTTAGTGGGAACTATATTATGACTAAATGAGTTTAAAATTGAAAAGCACTCAAAATAGTGCTTGTCTAATACATAGTAAACACTGAACCTTTAGTTTTATGTTTTGGGTTTTTTTTTCCCAGTGTGCTCTTGGTTAGGGTGGGGAAGAGGGGAAAGAAAGGAGATCTGTGCCAATTTCTATGTAATAGCTGTTTTCTGCAACATTTAATGAGAATCCCCATGTAAAAAATAAACTTATACTAAATATGTATAAATAAAATATGTACAAAGAGTTGGTACAGAACTTTGTTTTTGGTTCAGGAATTGAACCCAGGGGTGTGTAACCACCACTAAGCTACGTCCCTAGTCCTTTTTTATTTTGAGACAGGGTCTCTCTAAGTTGCTGAGGCTGGTCTCAAAGCCTCCCAAGTTATTAGGATAACAAGTGTGAACCACTATGCCTAGCTTGGTATAGAGCCAACTAAGTTGTACTGTCTACATGATTTAATTGAGTCTCTGAGTCTGACTATGATTCATTCCAGCCAGAACACAAATTTTAAAATTTTGGCTGATATAAGCCAGATCCTATAAAGCAAAAACCTCAAGAGAAAATTGGTTGTATGGAATTTTAAATGGAGTTAATTACTAGTGGGATTTAAGTATTTGTTTATTCTAACACCATGCAAATGCTTTTTTCCCTTTTCAGGTGTTGCTTGTTCAGTGTCTCAAGCTCAGAAAGATGAATTAATCCTTGAAGGAAATGATATTGAACTTGTTTCAAATTCAGGTTTGTATGTTCTCAATACCAATTATGCCTGCAAAATCTTGTTTAAATTTTAAATAAAAAGTTGACTCTGGGCTGGGATTGTGGCTCAGCGGTAGAGCGCTCGCCTAGCATGGGCGAGACCCGGGTTCGATCCTCAGCATCACATAAAAATAAAGGCATTGTGTTATATCCATCTACACTTAAAAAAATAAATATTTTTTAAAAAGGTTGACTCAGTGATGCTCTGGGAGTTTTAAGTATTTCACTTAAAACAGTCTTGTGTAAGGACAGGGACACAGTGTGAGAAATGTGTTATTAGGCAATTTTGTTGGTGTGAATGTCAAAGTGTACACAAAACTTGATGGTACAGATTGTTCACTGAACATGGTCCTTGGTACAGTCAAGAGACCACGTAGAAAAGTGTATATACACAAGTTGCCAGCAAAACATGGCATATTGTTTGGTAACCTTTTTTCAGTAGATAGAAGTGTAGTAAGTAGTTGTTTATTGATTATCAAGCATCCTATGTATAATTGTGTAATTGTGTTGTATACTTTTGACTGGCAACACAATAAATATTTTTCACATTTGTGAAAAAAGTTTGTTCTTGCTGGCATCACCAAGAACAAATGTGAGTGATGTGTTCACTAGTACAGTTTCACTAGATGTAGGAAATTTTTTGTCTCTGTTATTACCTTATGGAATCATTGCTGTATATTTGGTTCATTGTTAACCAAAATGTGCTTTACCTGATTGCTTTTTATGATGAAATAATTGACTTTTTTTGTTTTTATTCCTATAGCCGCTTTGATTCAGCAAGCCACAACAGTGAAAAACAAGGATATCAGAAAATTTTTGGATGGTATTTATGTTTCTGAAAAAGGAACAGTTCAGCAGGCTGATGAATAAGATCTAAGAAGTAGGTTCTTTAGTGTCTGTTTTTGTTTTGTGTTACTAGGGATTAAACTCAGGGCTTTGCACATGCTAGGCAAGAGCTCCACCATTAAGTTATATCCCCAGCTATTTATGCTAAGTTACCTAGGCTGGCCTAGAACTTGTTATCCTCCTCTTGTCTGCTAAGTAGTTGGGATCACAGGTGAGCACTATCATGCCTGCTAATGTCTGTAAGATTGATTACTCTTTAGATGGGTTTTTAATATACTGAGACTTAAATAGTACTTGCTGAGCATGAGCAACGTGTCTAAGCTCCATTCCTCATTCTCCAAAAAGAAAGAAGACTTAAATTGAAATTATATTAATGGTAGAGAATGGAGCACAGTAAATTCTAAGTTTACAGTTTACTATGAACAGTATATTAACGATAATTTACAACTTTAATGGACAAAGGTAACTGATGGAGATATTTTTATTTCTTTTTACAGTTGTCCAGTCACAGAAACACGTCCTGGAGTCAATTTGATATTTTCACTGATGCAATAAAAGATCTCTATTGACTTTGGACTTAATCCTTTCCAACGGGTTGAATAAACTTTAGTGTCCTTTCAAAGGAACAGAACAGAAATTTTTTTTTCTAATTTATTTTTTTCTTCTTGGGAACAAGTGGTTTGAATCTGGTTCTTGAATACCAGGTAAATCTCAGGCAAAAAGAAGTTGGTACCTGTGACAGGCGACAGGCAACGTCTACCTAGTTTTTCAATGGTTAGAGAGCTTTGGGGAAGATCTGAAGGGGTTTTAATATTTTTGAGGCATGAATTTGAATATTTAGTGAGGTAGGTGCACTCTAGTCACTTGTGAAAAAAAAAGTTCTGAGAAATGAAACAATATTAATATACTCAGGATGGAGATGTGCAGTTAATTTGCGAAATATGGCTGACCATATTACTGTTGTGCGCCAAGATTTCAATAATTTTGTCCTCTGCCTCAAGCCAGTATTTTGATTTTTTTGTTTTGTTTTGAGACAGGGTCTCATGAAGTTATTGAAGCTGGCCTCAAATTTGCAACCTTGCCTCAGTTGTTGAGATAGGCATGAGCCACCACACCTGTCTTCTTAGCCATCTACTAGTGTGTCCGAGACCTTTATTTTTACATACCAGAGTTCTTAACCACTGAGCCACACCCCCAGCACTTTTTATTTTTCTATATCTTCATTCCCTGTCAGAGTTTTTAAGTATTATGTAATAATATTTTACTAGACTTACATTTATTTATTTATTATAGCACCTTTTTTCCCCCTAATTTTTTTAATGGTGCATTATACTTGTGTGCATTGGTCAGTGTTAGTCCCTGGCCATACCAGACTTCCTTAAACCCAACATGGTGATCCCTTTAATCCCCTCTTAATCTGTTAAATTCCAACATCCCAAACTTTCAGAAAATTAATATCAAACCTTGAGTTCTTTTTACACACCATACATCCAACCCTGATATATACATATATTCACTACTTGGTATGTTCAGAGTCTATCAGAACTATTTAAATGAAGAGACTCAGTTGGAACCTCTCAATCTTAGACTTTTTTCGAGTGTACTGATGGTGTATGATTTCATGGAGGTAGTGTTAAGCTTGATTATAGAGTTAGGTTTTATAAGAAAAGGATGAAGTGTTAAGTCAAACATTTGAGGTAGGGTTACAGGCATTGAATGTTGGTTTCTGAGTGAAGTAACATAAATTGACAACTATTGAAGCTAAAAGGGCTTTGTTATACTATTACAGTATTTGAAAATGGTAGAAAATGAAACAACCTTGACTTTCACTTGGATTATTGGTTATTGGTTCTTCACACTCCCTCTGGTAGTGGGTCTTGTACTGAGGATTGAACCACATCTGCAGCCCTGTTTTGTATATTAGAGATAGGGTCTCACTGAGTTGCTCAGTGCATCCATCACCGTTGCTGAGACTGGCTTTGAACTTGCAATCCTTCCGAGCTACAGGGAAGGATGTTCTTTTTGAAACAGTATTGTTTTAAAGGGTTTTTTTTTTTTTTTTTTTTGGTACTGGGGTGTTTGAGCAATGAGCCACATCCCCACTCCTTTTTATTTTTAGACAGGGTTTGCTAAGTTGTTTAGGTTCTCAATAAGTTGCTAAAGCTGGGTTTGAACTTGTGATCTTGCCTTGGCCTCCTGAGCTACCTGGATTGCAGGTGTACACCACCACTCCTGAATTAAGCCTGTAAGTTTTTAAAACTTGCCTGCTTTCACACTTAGTTGAGTTTTTATACTTTTTATTACTATTTTTTGCAGTGCTGGAGATTGAACACTCCTTTGAGCATGCTAGACAAACATTCTGCCACTTAGCTGTATCCTCAAACCTTCAGTTCACTTTGTTGATTTTCAATGTCAAGCAAGTTTCCCTTTAAAAAGGGTTTTACAGCTGAAGTGTGGCAGTCCCCTTCAATGGCATAGTAAAACCTACCTTGATCACCCTATTTAAAAACATGGCATTAACTCATCCAGTCATCTTGCTCCTGTTGCACTTGATTCTGTCCGTAGCATTTATGAACATTTACAGTTTACCTTATTGAGTATTGATTGTATGCTTTCTTCTGTTAGAACACAACTCTTAGGGGGATGCAATCTTCTGCACTGCTTCATTTCATTGTTTGCTGAGTGGAAACTATTGGTGAAATTTTGAGGGGTGAGGGAGAAATTTCAAAGTGGCAGTATTATAGTAAGCTAGAGACATTAGGAATGAAATAGCAATATGTGGGTAGTTGCTGCTGTGCAAATAGATTCTTCCAGGATTGAACTGATGCTAGGTATGACCTGGTAACTTGGAGAGTAATTTCCACAAAACTAGGGTGTGGTGACAGTCAAACTCAACTTTTAGGCCAGGTGTTTACATCTTACTAATGGATACACATTCCCAGAGGTAACTTACCCAGTTGGGGCAGAGTAAATCAAAATCCACTCACCAGAATGTTAGCTAAATATATAGTAAGCATAAACCCAGTGAGGTGTTTTTGAGGTATAGGGACTTGGACCCCATCCTACTGTGTGGCAGGCAAGTGCTCTTTGAGATACGATCTAAGTTGCCCAGGGTGACCTTGAGTTTGCAATTCTTTGGCCTCAGCCTCTTGAGTTATCAGTGTGCCTCACTGTACCCAACTTAAATTGATTTTTTTTTAATAAACCTGACTATTTTAGTAAGCTTAGTAGATCATGAGCCATATTAAATATTTTTTTTAGTTGTAGATGGGCATAATATCTTTATTTTTATGTGGTGCTGGGGATAGAACCCAGGGTCTCAAGCATGCGAGGCAAGCGCTCTACCACTGAGCTACAACCCCAGCCCCATATTAAATATTTAACTAGGGTTTTTCATATGACAATGACTTAAATACTCCCAAAGTGGCAGTAAGGTAAGACTTAGGCTTTAAGCTAAGGAACTTGGCTATTTGGGGGAGTTTATGGCAAAGTAATTTGAAAAGGGAAACCATGTTTTTAAGAATATGTAATGTAAACATTGAAAAATAGGCCAGATGTGGTGTACATGCATGCCTGTAATCTCAACTATTAGGAAGGTTGAGGTAGAATCTGAAGTTAAAGGCCAACCTTGACAATTTAGTGAAACTCTGTCTCAAAATATAAGAAGGACTGGGGAAAAGAAAGTCTAATAAACTCAGAAATCATAAATAACAAGATACTTGAATCAGGGCACAAAATATTTGAAGACTAGAAAACAAAACCTGAAAATCTTTGTTATTCTGACCACATGTTTTTTTCAACACCTTGATGTTAAAAAGAGGTTGATGAGTTGATAATGAATTGTTCAATTGGCACCAAAGATTTTCACTGTGACTCTTGGGTCAGGGTGAGCCTATGTGGCATAAAAGGGGAGAAGCCAAGGGGGTTTTTTTTTTGAGGGGGTGGTGGCGATGGTGGTGATGGTGGTATGAGGCATGGAACCTAGGGCCTCAAGCTTGGAGCTTGCTAAGCAAGTGCTCTATCACTTAGCTGTAGCCCATCCTAAGTGATTCTTCTAAATGTCTTAACTTTTCTACATAGTCAACATGTTAGAACAATTGACCAATTATAATTATGCATAGTATTAGGCACAGTAAGATCTCAAAGGGAAAAAAAAATCTTGCAAAACATGCTTAAGACTAAGAAGGCTAGGAGAATGGGTATAATGGGAGAAAGAAGAGACAAAAGCAGTATTTTACCATTTGTATTTGACCAGCCACATAGCAAATTTATTGCCTATTCCTTCAGCATTTGCATGATCAATTTTCTCTTTACACCATCTTTGAAATAAATTGCTCTTCATGATCAGTTAGAATTCCAATTGTGTATATTTGACTTCTGACCACGCATTTTTTCAATACCTTGATGTTAAAAGAGGTTGATGGGTTGATAATGAATTCTGGATACAATGAAAACTACCTTTAATTTAGGATAATTTCCTAATCTAAAAAATTATAAGCATAAATTGGTGTACATTCAGGTTCATTAAAAAAAATACTCAGTTCAGATTTAAGAATTTACTTAATTCTAGCCTTACAAAGTGGTAAATAAAACAAAATAATTTTAACACATTTAGACTAGTAATACTCAACTCATCCAGAGTCACATTGCTAGGTCCAGAAAGGGCCACACTTTGTACTTTGCTGTATGCATGTAAAAAGCAGTGAAACTCTTTAGGGGGAAGAGCGGGTCTTATGGAATAATAATATGGTACTTTGCTATTGATAACCAATAAGTAAAATTTACATCTTTTTAGCTTTACTAAGTCTACCAAATCTTGTTTATCACTTCATGAAAATTGGGGAGAAGAAATGCTCAATTTATTTAAAGGTGAAATTTCTGTACTAGTCAGGTTGAGTGACTTCCTGTCTTCACAGACAGTTGGGTCCAGCTTTTAATCTTTATCCTGTGATCTTGCCATGATATCAGTTATGGAAGTTGAATTTTTCTAAAATTCACAAATCTAATAAGAGAGCTCACAAATTTAGATGTTTTAGAAATGCTTGATAATGTTTTTGAGAAAAACCTGTCTCACAAATTTAGATGTTTTTTAAATACTTGACAGGTTTTTTGAGAAAACAGATTGATGCACTTCAGAGTCTGCCATAACTGGCTATAGACAAGCACTGCTTACCTTGTTGAGATTTACTTTTCATTTGAGAACCACCCTGACTTAAAGGACAAAGCACCTTGTTAGAAGTGACAGAATGTCACCAACTATCCAGTTTAAAGAATAGTTTTAAATCTCTGCTATGGAGTCTGACAAACTTTCACTTTTTAAAAATAATTCTTTTAACCATGAGAAGATATTGATATTTAGAGAAGCTAGAGAATAATGATGGAAATGCTTCCTGAAGCAATTTAACAGGTAATCCTCATAGTTTACAGTCATTGAAGTCTTATTCTTCAGCTCCAAGAACTGAATTTGTTGATGTCAACACCTAAGGGAAAGCTCATTTAAACCTCACTGCAGAGACATCGATTGTCATCACCTTGATTACTGCTGTATCTCAAACTGTCTTCTTTCTTACACTATGCAGGAATACTGTAAGTTCCCAGTATATAGAACTGGAGTGAATTTTTTAAGCTGTGAAGACAGATCACTTTAGCTAAGGACTCTCTTGTGGCCTTGCTTTAATGGTATGTTTTGTAAGCTCTTTGCTTTCCAAAATTGTCTTCTCTTTCGCTGATGTAAAATAGTGATTGATAATAGTAGAACCAGGGTGGAGAAGAAGCAACAACCAAAGAATATCAGTGGTTTCTTCTGCAGGAGAAATGAGCAGGCAATGCACTCTGCTTTTTCTTGAGTCTGATTACACCTAGGACTACTGTTCTCTAAAGGGAAGCCACTGCTGCTGATCAGGTGATTGTAAAATTGTATGGAGGATTTAGCTCTGAAATCAGATGTGAAGAATCCGAATCTAGGTTTAGATTTTTCTTCAGTAAGTTTGAATGCATAATAGCCTTTGATTTTGACTTTATCAATAAGGTATGCTGAAAAATACCAGAAATGGAAATCATTAATTACAATGAAGTATCTTTGAATAAGAATTTAGTTTTCATTGAAACAAGCTAAACTTATATCCATAAAATAAAATGTCTTGATTCTCACTCATTAAAGGCTTTTATTAAACTTTTTTTACAATCTATGAAAATAATTAAGTTTTGAAAGATTTGAAGTAAAACTGATATATAAATCATCCAGAAATATTTTAAAAAGCAAATTTAAGAAGCAGAGCCATGAACACAATAGTTCTTATCACATTTATTCTAAGAATCACAAGCAGAAAAATCTTGCCTGTCTGTCCTCATTCTGAATCTCAGATATGCTCTTGGTGCTGCCCAGTAACCACACTGGGTTTTCCTAAGCATTCATTCTTTTCTTACTTTCTTGCTCCTATAATTCTATAAAGTCTTACTGTCCTAATCCTACAATTCTATTTTTTTGGGGGGTGGAGGATACTGGGGATTGAACTCAGGGGCACTCAACCACTGAGCCACATCCCCAGCCCTATTTTGTATTTTATTTAGAGACAGGGTCTCACTGGGTTGCTTAGCACCTTGCTGTTGCTGAGGCTGGCTTTGAACTCGCGATCCTCCTGCCTCAGCCTCCCAAATCCTGGGATTACAGGCGTGCGCCACAGTGCCCAGCTCTAATCCTACAATTCTAAACAAAGCCAACAAGGTCATTAATGAGCCTTCTCCCCTTGTTCTTTTGTTCCTGTCAGTTAACATGAACCTCACACCTTACTGTATCTAAGCTGGCCCCGAACCTCACCTTTCAGAGCCTCCTGAACGTACTTCTCCAAGTAGTACTTTCGGAGTTGATCATTTTCCAAAGACTGGTCGTCGATGCCATTAGCAGTGATGTAGATATCTACGTCTCCGTAGTTCTTCCGGATCCACCTGAGCAGCTTGCGCTCTCCCCAGGGCAGCACCGCCAGGCGAGTCGGGGAGCTCAGGCAGGTGATGTCTTGCAGGAACTGCACGTCCCTGTCCGAGTCGTAGCGGCTGCCGTTCTGCTGCTCGTGCATCACGTATCTAGTGGTGAAGTGGTTTAAGGCATAGAAGTCGGCGGCGCCCTTGACCAGCCTGCGCTCGTCCTCGGTGAAGTGAGGAAGCGCAGAGCTGGAGAGCCCTTGCCGATTCTTGGAGGCTATGTACTCCCTCATCGCGGTGGGGTAGTCCCCGGTCTTGAACAGAGGATCTGCGAACCAGGCAATCTCGAACTGGAGGAAGCGCTCCGCTGCCTTCCAGTGAGAGTCGACATAGGGGTTGGCTGGTTCCGCCCAGTCGGAATGCAAGGACAGCGACACCGTGCCACGCTGGGACAGCCTGTACTGCTGGTCATAGAGGTGCCAGACCAGGGCATGTGCGATCAGCAGATTGTGGGCTGCCCTGTAGGTGTCGTTACTAGTGCGGTTGTAGATGTCACTCAGCCGGTTAGGCTCGTTGATGGTGATCCAGAGCTTCACCAAGTCTCCCAGCTCCTGGAAGCACAGCCCTGCGTAGTCCTGGAAGGCCGTGGCTGTCGACGGGTTCAGCCAGCCCCCGCTGTGTAATAGGGGCGTGGGGAGGCCTAGATGGGAGTGGGTGGGGTGATACAACGTGACCATTGGGGAGATGTTGAGCTTCAGCCCCTCGCTGATCACACACCTGTAGTACCTCAGAACTTGTTGGTTGACCTCAGACAGGTTGCCAGTGGGAAGGACTGAGGCCCAGTCCAGAGCAAACCGGTAGTGGGTGACTTTCATTCTGGTCAACATCTCAAGTTGTTTTTTGATGCTGACAAAATCTGTGCATTGAGCGGGCCGCGTTTTCAGCTTTACTCCTTCCACTCGGTGCAACAGTCTGTTGCCAGTGGCATTCCACAAGTACAGGTGAGGGTCAGTAAACTGTGGGGAGGAAGCCATCGACTCGGGCTGTGGGAAAAGAAGCACATTCAAATAAAGCACATGCTGGCTAACTGAGGCTCTCAGCAATACACCCTTTAAGAGGAAGAAGGGCCTGATCTTATGGGGCCTCTCAGGACAAGAGAGAAAATACATTATGCATATGTCCTTCATAATGACCTCTGTGTTCCGGCTGTTCTCCTGGTGATGCAGAGAAAAGGCCTGATGAATTGATTATCTTCCCTTCCAGCCCTTGGCATCTCCAGGGAAACCAGGAAACATAGGGAAGGAACCATACCCAGGGTATGGCTTGGAAACAAATTGAGAAAAGACTGAGAAGCCATTTTCCAGCTCATTTCACCTAAAAATCCAGGTTATACAGTGGGGTCTCATGTGATTCTCTTCAAATGCATCAGGAAATTGGCTTGCTATCCTCAGTTAAAAGCAATTATGAAAGATGGATTCTAAACCCTGTCACAAATTGAAAACAAAGGTGTAAAGGAGTTCTCAGACCGCACTTGGATTTAGAGGGGACTGGTTGACAACAGCTCCAGTTCCTAAAAGAGACGGCAGGATGGGGGTAGGCAATGACTCCTTTCATTGGCTGAATGCACCTCTCAACTTTTTCTATTTGAAAAGTCCAAGTGATATTACCTTTGCTTCAGGTGTATCTCCCCCTACTCACGTGCCTGTCAAAATACAACTGTATCTCCCCCACCTGTAAATCTGTCAGAACACAGATTTATTCATCTAAAAGAAGAGGATTGAATTCTTTCTCTATGCAAAGAACTTGGATTATGAATGGAAAGAATACCCATAAAATAAAATACCCATAAAACTCCCCGGGTTGCTTCTTGGATCTGGTAGTGTCTCATTACAGTCTGTCCTAGTCTGTGCCTTTGAAACTTAGGCTTGGCAATTATATAGTGATGGAGCTGTCTCACCTGCCTCCCAGGTGTGCGGTGAGGAGTTGATGCCCTGCAAAAGGGCTCTGTCGACCCTAAAGCACTGTATAAATGTAAGGTAGTCATGACTTGGGTTTTGTTTTCCCTGGATGCAATAATTGTCTTGTAGACCTTTGAGTCTAAACTAAAACAAAGGACTTAAAAAAGGGATTTCTAAATTTAAGACTAAAAAGGGCAAATAAATGTTCTGTACTTATGTTAAAGTACTTTTTCTTTTCATGACTGAGTTTAAATGCACCAAGGAAAATGATAATTAGCCTTTGGTAAATATTTTCCCTCTAATTGTTTTCTCATGTGTCATCTTTCATAGTATAATTACAAAACCATATTACTGCCCACTTGCCATCTGCCAACCAGTTATCCAGAACATTAAACTAGAGAACATTGATCATGTGAGCATGAAGTTTAATCTGGATATAATTAATTATTTGAATGAAATCTTTCTAGCCTATATGGTCAGTTTCAGTGTGTAGAAAAGCTGACGACATTATGATATTAAAAAGGTATTCACAAAGACAAAGCCTATATGGTCAGTTTCAGTGTGTAGAAAAGCTGACGACATTATGATATTAAAAAGGTATTCACAAAGACAATCCTGCCATGTGGCAAGGCAAGATCAAATAAATATCTGTTACTTTTTTGTTTGTTTGTGGTACTGGGAATTGAACCCATGGATGCTTTACAACTGACCTATATTCCCAGTCCTTTTATTGTTTTATTTGGAGACAAGAGCTTGCTAAATTGCCTAAGCTAACCTTAAAGAGTCCTGCCTCAGACTCTCAAATCACTGGGATTACAGATGTACACCATTGCGACTGGTGGTTTTACTTTAAAAAGTAAAGTATCTTCAGAAAGTATTAGTTTTAGGCAGCAAGTGGGTTTGATTAGCCTGCAAAGAAATCTAGTTAAATATGATGAACCCTTAACCCAGCCCCAATTCCCAGATTTTGTTTTTAAAGTTGTGTTCCCCACTAAAAGGATCCTGGGCTCCTTGGAGAATTTTTTTCCAGGTCTGGGAGAGAAAAAGAATGAGGTGATGCTGGGGCATCTAGTGCTGGAAAACAAGGAAGTACTTAAAAACTGGAAGGTAAATGTCAAAAGATATATGAGCAGCTTGAAGGGGTCCTGGTGTGACAAGTTGTGCATAAAAATAAATAATGTTATAAAGATAATAATGAATTACAAAAAGTTGAACTTCAGAGAACCCAGCTAATAAGTGTAGAAGGAACAGTCTAATTCAAATTTCTCCATTTTGCTATCTATGAGAGGCAAGTTTCATGAATGAATTTTAAAATAGTTGTTTGAATTATTGTTCAGGAACAGGATATTCATATATTCTCTGGGTATCATCATCAGATCACTTTTTTTGGTGGGGTACCAGGAATTAAACCCAGGGGCACTTAACCACTGAACCACAACCCCTGACCCCCTTAATTTTTTTTTTTTTTTAAATTTCAAGATAGGGTCTCGAAATTTAGGGCCTTGCTAAGTTACTGAGGCTAGCTTTGAACTCACAATCCTCCTGCCTCAGCCTCCCAGGCCACTGGGATTACAGGAATGGGCCACTGCACCTGGCTTCATCTAATCACTTCTTAATTAAAAATAAAGGTACCATTTAATTAAGAGATCTGACAAGTGCCACCTTAACCAAGAAATCTGGTGACACTACTTCAACTGCATTGATATTTTCCATAATAAAACAAATTGACATCAGGTACCTCCTGATGGGATGCACTGATAGTGTACAATATCATCTATTTATCATTTTTCCAAAACTGGTAAATTCAGTCTAATAAAGAAATAATCAGAGAACTCCAAAGCATGAGACATTCTATAGTCAATTGGTCTGAATTTGTCAGAATTGCCAATACCATCAACTTTGAAGGAATTGTTCTGAATTAAAGAAGGCTAAAGATGAAAGATGTGGGCTCGGGATGTGGCTCAAGCGGTAGCGCGCTCGCCTGGCATGCGTGCGGCCCAGGTTCGATCCTCAGTACCACATACAAACAAAGATGTTGTGTCCGCTGATAACTAAAAAATAAATATTAAAAAAAATTCTCTCTCTCTCTCTCTTTAAAAAAAATAAAATAAAAAAATAAAGATGAAAGACGTGTGACCTTTCTTTGCATTCTTGATCCAAAAATAATTTTAAATCTATAAAGGACATTTTTGGAATATTTACAAAATTTGAATATAGATTGTATATAAGATGGATTGAATCAATGTTAAATGTTCTGGGCCTCTTGATGATGGAGTGATACAGGAGAATGTCCTTGTTTTGGGAGATACATGCCGAAATATTTTGGGGTGGAGCGTAATGATGTCTGCAATTTATCCATGGTTCATAGAAGAGAGGGGCTGAGATAAAGTAGATGTGACAATGTTAGACGGCCATGGTGGTGCACAACTATAATCTCAGAGGCTCAGGAGGCAGAAGCAGGAGGATCACAAGTTCAAGGCCCACCTCAGAAACTTAGTAAGGCCCTAAGCAACTTAACAAGACCCTATCTTAAAAAATAAAACAGGCTGGGGATGAGCACCTGGGTTCAATCCCTGGTACCAAAAAAAAAAAAAAAAAAAAGTGACAACATGAATAATTGGTCAGTCTTGAGGAAGAGAATATGTGTTTTTGTTGTACAAGTGTCAAATTTTTCAAAATAAAATGGTGAAGGAACAAAGGATACTAGAGACTAGAGGAAAGTAAGATGGGAATGTGTGGGGTTAGGTATAGTAATATTTTTGAACTGTTAATTTCATTTTGTTAGTCTTTCTGAAGACGATATCCAATTTTCTGCCCACATAGCATCTAGTCATATATCCTTTGGCTGATTTTTCAAAAACCAACATAATTTTCTTTGGCAAATCATTCATCCCCATTCTTAGTCCAAGTTGATGAACAGAAGCTGACTTTCCTGGGCTCTGAGGGGTGAGTACTCAGGATCAGTTCTTTCTCCTAAAACTAGGAGTAGGGCAGATATCACAGTGTCAATCACTGGGAAGCTGCTGGGTCTTCAGCTAAAGCAGGAACTTGAAGGTTGGATCTCCCATACAGGTGGGAGAAGTAGCTCTTATATCCCCTCAGGTCTTTACCTGCCGGGTCTGGAGTTGTGAAAAATATCAACCTACTGAAGTCATAGGGAAAAGATGGTCATAGGAAGGAAGAAGTAGGAACTGGATAAATAGGTGGTTTAAGAGGGGACACAAGCAGAAGATGAATCACTGTTTGTGTTACTTTTAGTAGCCACAGGGGTTGAGATTCATAGCCTGTGAATCTCAAAAATTACATATTTTTTTTGCACCAGGAAGTGAACCCGGGGATGTTTAACAACTGAGTCACATCCCTAGCCCTTTCTATTTTCTGTTTTGAAGCAGAGGCTCACGAAGTTACTTAAGGCCTCACTAAATTGCTGAGACTGGCCTGGAATTTATTATCCTCCTGTTTCAGCCTTCTAAATTCCTGGGATCACAGGTGTGCGCCACTATGCCTGTCAATAACCTGTGAACTTTGGTCACTTGTGGTTTGGACCCTTTTGTCTGGTCCCATTCCTGTACAACTCATTGTCTTTTCATACACTTCTAGAGTACAGGAAATTGTATGTTATTGTGAAGTTCTATAGCATAGTGTTCAGGAGACAGACCTGGGTAACCTGCGGACAAGTTATGTAACTTCCCTAAACCTCAGCTTTCTGGTCTGTAAAATGAGATTTTTAAGATTAAATAGAATGTGCATGCATGTAATAGTTACATGCTTGGCAAAAAGTATGGGCTTTAAAAATAGTTATTAGGAAAAATTAAAAAAAAATAAAAGTAGTTCTTAGGGATGGGGCTGTAGCTCAGTGGCAGAGCGCTTGCCTAGCATGTGTGAGGCACTGAGTTCAATCCTCAGCACCACCTAAAAATATAAAAAAATAAAATAAAGGCTTGCTGTCCATCTACAACTATAATAAATTTTTTTAAAAAAATAAAAATAGTTATTTGGGAAAGAGCATTGTGTATCTGAAGGCTTCCAGACTGTCTGATAATAGTTCTGCCACTACTTGTGTTGCCTTGGGAAAATTGATAGGTCTCACTTTCCTGGCCTGTAAAATAAAGAATTTGGAATGGAAAGTCTCTACACCCATACCTGGCTCTAAAAGGTGATCTCATTCACTCTCCTGATTCTAAGAGATGAGGACTTGCCACGTGCCTGGTGCTGCCCTACTAAAGCATACAGCAGACATCAACTAATTAAACATCTCTGCCCGGGCTGGGGATGTGGCTCAAGCGGTAGCGTGCTCGCCTGGCATGCGTGCGGCCCGGGTTCGATCCTCAGCACCACATACAAAGATGTTGTGTCTGCCGAAAACTAAAAAATAAAAAAAAAAAATTAAAAAAAAAAAATCTCTGCCCTCACGCACCTTGCATGGTAGAGGAGAAGACAAGTGATAAATAAGAAAAATGTATAAGGTTCATAGTAAGTTAGATGGTGAAGAGTTCTGTATAGAAATACAGAGCAGGGAAGAGATGTAATAGGGTGGATTTAGGGTTTTTGATTGCAGGGAAGTCTGATTGAGAAGGAGACATTTGAGCAAACATTGGAAAGAGGTGAATAATGAGATGTCGGGGGTGCTCCACGGGGTTATGGAGATCTCAGAAGGCAAATTACCCAGATCTACTATTTGCTTAAATAAAGGACTGCTAATGATTTGCTTTTGGCCAAACAAAAATATATAAAATTGTTTTTTCTCACAGAGAAATGGTCTTAAGTTCTGTCTGAACTATACACTTCCAGAGGGCAGCCTCTTGGTCACTTGGACTCCCTCACCAAGTAAACCTTCTGGCCCATGAAAATGTCTCAGCACTCATCTCCTTCTTCCTCTTTCTTCAACTCTGCTCCATTACCTCTAAATAACCATGGTATTTGACATTGCCTAATACCTATCTTCCTAGCTATCATTGAGTAAATGAAATAAAACATGGTGTCCTATCTTCTCCAGTTTATGGTTGATTTGGAGGTAGCCACTTACCTTAAGAACAGATTCAGTGATACCCCAGGAGAAGTCACAGGGAAACTGACCCTGCATATCTGGCGTGGACTCTTTCAAAATAAAACCATTTTCTTGTATGATCTGTTTATAGTAATGTGCTGAGGACTTGGGTTTTCTTTCTTTCTGTTTACTATTAAAATCCACATAAAATAATCCTCGCCGGGTGTTATAAGCATCATGCCACTCAAAACCATCCAAGAGAGACCAGGCAGTATAACCAAACACTTGAATATCATCAATCCTTATTGCTGCACAAAGAAAAAAAAAGCAGAGACATTCAGAAAGGTAAACACTCCAATTTACAATTTCACTAACAACATGGCAGGGGACAGTGTATTGTGAAACCAACCTTTCCCTTGATTTGCGGGCCAGTTATATCAAATAGAAAATGCATGTTCCTTCCTGAAACATGGCAGCTATTTTAATCTAGAATGGTACCCCTATTCACATCACCCCTCATAACTGAATGGCACAAAGGATCAAATGAAAAATATTACTGAGATTTAGTGTGGAGATCTGTGATGGGGGGCATGATAATTTCTACAACCCTCTGGGACTAATGCAGATGTCTGCTAGTGACCAAGAGTTTCTCTCACTTCAAATTTGGTTTTGTTCCCATTTGTGGACAGAGAAACTGTTCTCCAGGGACTGAAAAGTCAATTCTTAGAAGTAGCATAAGTCTGTGTAGATATAAGGAGGCAAAAGAGACAAAGTGATGTAAGAGAATGAGCTCTGACTGGGCCCAAGGGCAGGGTGCCCAGGGCCTTGCCCTGCTGTGTTCCTGGGAGGGTGTTATTGGGCAAGTTTCTTGGCCTCAGTTTCCTTATTTGCAAACAGAATATATTGGAAAGGATGATCTCTAAGGGCCTTTCTAGCTTTAAAACTCTGAATTAATAAATTGCAGGAATGGGTAAAAATAAATTGTGAATATCAACATAAGCAACAAAAACAACAAATTCCCATATTAGCCCTGATTTTCCCTCCCCCCCTCTTTGCTTCTTTCTTTCTACTTTCTGACAGTACCTGGGGATTGAACCCAGGGCTTCCCACATGCTAGGCAAGTGCTCTACCACTGAATTACATCCCCAGCCCACTCTGAATCATTTTCCTTAAAAGCTTTCATTTCTATTTTAGAAATGCCTCAGTTTCGCATTTTGGGGGTTTATCACTGACATTCTTTCCCTAAAAGGTGGAAAATCCATGGCAAAAGATTCCAAGAGGTAGAGTGGACACCTCTTCTGCCCAAGTGCGGAGAACTTGACCCAGGACCTGTGGGCAGTATCCTCTGCTCTGAGGTCCCTCTTGTGCATGTGGCTTGTGACTGGGTATAGCTCTTCCATGCTGTTCCTTCTTGCAATCTGGAACAGCAGAATTGGGGCAGTCTTGCTCTCCCTGAGGACCCTCCCTGAAGAAGCTGGGGTTTTCTTGTAGACTAGTGACTTCTAAAAAGAGCTACAGAGTTTTAGCAAGATCCACAGAGAATTCCTTTATTGGATGAAAGGAGCCCAATTCTGTAGGGAATAAAACCATCATAACCTGAGCTTGACTTTGGTTCCATTGTTTCAGTCACCTGAAGATGTCCTGCTTGAGTAATGGAAAAGGAATGAGGAGATATGTTGAGGTCAGAGGAAATCACTAGGATTAATAGAAATTTCTCAGTTTTGTCTTCAGACCTTTTATCATCCAGTCACATAATAAAAGAGTAAATGGATCATAATTTCAAGAAGTATCTTAGAATAAAGTACAACCTAATAGGGAACTTTAAACTTATCTCTTTTAGCATTGTATCATTTATAAAGAATAAAACATCATATTCCCAACAATTAAAGGTCAACATGTAGTCTGAAATTATTTTGACCTTAAACTTTTATTTAAGAAAGGACATAAAGTTGGGCATGGTGGTGCATGCCTGTAATCCTAGTGACTCAGGAGGCTGAGGCAGGAGGATCGAGAGTTCAAAGTCAGCCTCTGCAAAAGTGAGGTGTTAAGCAACTCAGTGAGACCCTTTCTCTAAATAAAATACAAAATAGGACTGGTATGTGGCTAAGTGGTCGAGTGCCCTTGAGTTCAATCCCTGATTTCCACCACCCCAGCACCCCGAAAAAAAAGAAAGGGCATGGGAATAATACTTAAAAGTTCTATCAACATTGTACAATATGAAATAAACCCACAACAACAATGATTACACATTCAAAGGGGACTTTAAATATCCTATAAGGATTCAACATTTTTAAAAATTTGAGCTAATGTGCAACCCACCTTGAAGAACCTGGTTGAGGAATTTCTTCATCATGTAGATGGCTGTGGTGTCTTCTGTCTTCACATAACTGTCCGTGAACCAACCGTTCTCCGTAATCAAGATTCGGGGGTTTCCATATTCCAGTTTAATCCAGTTCAGCACTTTTCTTAAATTGAGTGACAAATTTTGCCCCATTTTATCTATGGTGTTTGGGGGCTTGAAATTATTGGGTCCAAAGGAAAAGGCAAAGAAGTCAGCCGTGCCCCTTACCTCCTCCTTCTCTGCTTCTGAGAAAAGGGGTAGAATGGAGAGCGACTTCTTCATGGTATCTGGATAGTCGCCATTCCCATGAATAGGGGTGGCAAACCATCCGAGCACAGAAACCATGGATTCTTGGCACATGCTCACATCCATTGTGTTTTCTGACCTGTTTGGCTCAATCCAATGGGATCCCAATGTGATCGAAACATAGCCTTTCTGATGTGGGCGGAAATTTCTGTTGTAGTTATGCCAAACTTTTGAATGAGCCTAATAAGAAGAAAATATCATTGACCTTTATTGTCCTTACAAGGGTTGTAAAACGACTGATGATACAAGGTAAAATGGCTAATAGTAAAGCTCACCACCTAAGAAAATAGTTGTGAGGGCTGAATGAGTTTAACATATGTGAATGGCGTTAGAACAGTGTCTGGTACAGAGTAAACACTCTACAGGTCTCTGGTATTATTTCCATTATTATAAAAGGATGGCAAGGTATTGCAGAAAACCAATAGAAAGAGTGTGGGCTCTGGCAGCACACCTGGGCTTGAAGTTCATGCATACTGTGAGGCATGAAGCAAGTCACTTAACCTTTCTGAAATCTCTTACAGCCCAACTGTAGAATGAGACTGATAATATAGCATGAGATTAATAATACTAATATCCTTTGTAAGGTTGATGTCAGATTTAGAACTAATGCATGTATAAAATATGTGGCATAGGGCTGGGGTTGTGGCTCAGTGGTAGAGCACTTGCCTAGCACGTGTGAGGCCCTGGGTTCAATCCTTAGCACCACATAAAAATAAATAAAATTAAGGTATAAAAAAAATTTGTGGCATAGAATACAGCATATAGAAATACCACCAAAAGATGGATCTTATTATTACTGGTCCTCCTAGAGTTTACATTTCCAGGTGAGCTCTCTTGTAATAGAGCCTATTGATCAGTTTCAAGTCTATTTAATAGATACTAACTGGCACTTACTGAATGTGTGGCGTGCCCTGCCTTAAGAAGCTGAAATATGACATGGGAACTTGTTCTCAGGAAACTACTCATTGGGAAAATAAGACTGAAATATGATGAAGAGAAACATATAAAAATATATAAAATAAAACATTAAAAGAAAATTTAACCAAAAGCTAGAAGATATAGTTCAGCAAAGAGCCATGAGCTATGGCTGAAGGAGGAACAAATGTTAAGGACTCAAATTAAGGATTCCTGGCCCATTAAATGCCCAAAGCCACTTCTCTGTACTGGTCAACCATGGAATTGTCCTTTCTCTATACCATAATTACTGCTCTTCCCCTCAGAATTTGACTTGTTTGCCTCTTTTTTTTCAAATCTTTTTTTTTTTAGTTGTAGGTGGACACAGTTCCTTTATTTCCTTTATTTTATTGATTTATATGTGGTGCTGAGGCTGGAACCCAGGGCCTCATGTGTGCTAGGTGAGCGAGCACTGCACCTCTGAGCCGCAACTTCAGCCCCACTTTCTTGTCTCCTGATGTCTCTCCCCACATCTCTCAATTTCTTATCTATTTGACAAATGCAAACTCTTGTTTATTTATTTATTGTGGTACTGGGAATTGAATGCAGGGTCTCATACATGATAGGCAAGAAGAAGCTTTACACTGGGCTCTATCTCCAGCCCTTTTTATTTTATTTGGAGACATGGTCTCACTAAGTTGCCCAGGCTGGCCAGGAGCCAGTGTTCCTCCTGCCTCAGCCTACCAAGTAGCTGGGATTGCAGGTGTGCACTACAATACCTAGCCAAACCCTTATTATTTTTAACCTATGATGCCCTTTTAGTTTTGTTCCTTAGCTTTTCTTTTTCTCAAAGGTGATGTTTATATCAGGACAAACCATTTGAAACTGCCTTTTTGTAGGTCAAAAATAATAAATATGAGCAATGAATTCAAACTGGTTAGATCTTATGAGCTTGAAAATGTTCTATAAATCCTGTTAGGGTGGGGAAAGTTTGTGTTGATGTAAGGGGTGAGGATTCCAAAACTGGTGCCATCCTCCTTAATGCAAGGAAAGCTAATTTAAATCATTCCTTGGAAGATTTTCTACAGGTGTAGATGCCTTGAGGCATCTCTGATCTTACTAGATTTTCACTGGGAGATCCTGGAAACACCTAGAAATTTTTTCTTTTCTTTCTTTTTCTTTTTCTTTCTTTCTTTTTAAAAATTCTTTTAGTTGTATTCAATGCCTTTGTTTTTATTTATTTATTTTTATATGTGCTGAGGATCGAACCCAGGGCCTCAGCGCACTAGGCGAGCACCCTACCACTGAGTCACAACCACAGCCCTGGAAATCTTTAAGAACATTTTCTCTCAGAATAATTTAGACTCTAGCCTCTTGTCTTCCTCTGACCTGAGGTCAGAGCTTCTGGAAGGAATCACAGAGGAGCAGGGAACACGTGGCATACAGCCTTACATGGTCTTAGCCACTCTGTGGAATTTTCTGGGGCTAGAAACACTGAGGAAAATCTTGAAAAGTGTTTTCTTTCTTTTAAAATAGTTTTTAGTGGTGGATGGACACAATACCTTTATTTTATTTTTATGTGGTGCTGAGGATCGAACCCAGGGCTTCGCACATGCTAGGCGAGCGCTTTACTGCTGAGCTACAACCCCAGCCCCTTCTTTCTTTCTTTCTTTCCTTTTTATTTTGTTTCAAAATAAAAAGCGCATTACTAGGATTCAGGTGGGGGCAGGGGTGTTCTTTGCTTTATTCTCATTGTTCATTTCATCTCTCCGTAGCTTGAGTGCTTTCATCCATAGAGAACACAGTGACCAGCAGCTCTCTTCAGGGCTGTCATGTGCCTCTGATATGTACCCAGAAAAGCACCACACATGTGTAAACTAGCTGCCTTGCAAATAAGATACTACGGGATGCTAAAGAGAGGGTGAGGTACAATCAGCATCAATGTATTAACCTAGTCCTAATTGGAATCAGCACGCCTAATAGGGAAAAACAGGGCAGAAGAATTTATTCAAAAGAGATGTAATAGTTACCTACTTCAGAAATTATACGAAAGATGACCTAGGCTGTGATAAAAATCTTGGTTCCATAAGAATTTAAACGAAACACAGAGCAGCATAGAGAGCAACAGGCATATTATACCTCAGCAAGGCCTTTCCCACCTGTTTTCTGGATACCCATATGCATGTATTATCATACCCCAAGGTGACCTTCATGTTCCACTGTGTCTCTTTCACCATTGCTGCTATTTGCATAGGCTATCAAGGTATCTGAGGTTATCTTTACTCAGGGTTGAAGACAGCCTCTCCGTTCTCCGTCGAGAATGGGGGAGGTTCTCTCTGTGGTATATATGGTTATACCTTGGTCCTTTTGCCAAGTCACAAGGTAAAAATGTTTTGCTCCGAGATAGTGAATTTGACACAAATCTTGATGAAACAGGGATATCTACAGGTGTTATTTGAATTACACTCATAAAGGAGTTCTGTTGGAAAGACTAAAATAGGATTCGTAGAATGCAAACTGGGCCCAGCACCCTTGCACAGCGGCATGGACAGTTCCCCAAGGTTACCCACTATCTTGCACAAGGCCATCTACCTTTGGAATGATGAGTTAAGGGAGCTTCAGCCTTTGTTCTTTAGATTCCCTAGCTTAACAGGGAAGTGAGCTGTTTTTTCCTTTTGAGCCAGGTCTCAGGGGCCCATGTCATTGAGACAGTGAGGCGGGGTGGGAGGCTAATATCTCTTCTGGTTCCCTCCTCCAGTCTAACATGCCTGCTGCCTTTGATACCCCTGGAAGTACAGACTCAGATAAATTCTGTGGAAGATAGGAAACAAATAAGATAGCAGGCACAACTTAAGAAAGAGATGAGGAGAGGGTTAGAGGTCAGGAGAACATGAGGGGCATTGGTGGAAAGGATGGAGTGAGGACAAATGCACAAACTCAGCACATCATACATGGGCATTAAAGGAACTCTCAATCCTTTGCCAAAAGTTAAATTTTCCATATCTTTGCATGATTTTAGTCACGTTTCTTCATGTGAACTGTAAACTAGTCTGTTATTAAAAAGCTACTTACTAAAAGTATTAAATAAAATCTGTTAAAGAAAATTTATTTAAAAGCTCCAAAATCATAACAATGTTTTCATATTTCTGTGTTCCTGTTCAGCCTTTCCAAATACATTTCCCAGTTAAAATCACTTTAAACATTTCCCATTATTTTAGTTTCATAATTATCTTAATAGTATCACAATTCAACAGTTTGATAAAATATGATTTACTTGGGCATCTCTCTTTTAATAGAAATTAATTATTTTTTTTATGGTGCTGAGGATTTGAACCCAGAGCCTTGTGCATGCTAGGCAAGTACTCTACCAGAAGAACTGTATCCTCAGCCCAAAATTAACTTGTTTTTATTCATTCTTTTCTCCTGTGATAAATAATATGGTAATAACTAATTTTGTGCATATAGCTTTTAATTTATTTGAATTATTTCCTTTTGGTTATCCTAGGAATGGACTTTTTTTTTTTTTTTTGTCCTGGGGATTGAACACAGTGGAAGTTACCACTAAGCTATGTTGAGACAGGATCTTGCTAAACTGCTGAAGCTGGCCCAGAACTTGCAATCCTCCTGCCCCAGCTCCTGAGTCACTGGAATTATAGGCATGTGCCACCATGCGTAGCTGGACTATTTATTTATTTATTTATTACAAATACCTATTTTTCAGTTGTAGTTGGACACAATACCTTTATCTTATTTATTTATTTATTTATTTATTTATTTATTTATTATGTGGTGCTGAGGATCGAACTCAGGACCTTGCACGCAATAAGCGAGTGTGCTACTGCTGAGCCATAATCCCAGCCCAGGATTATTTAGTTTTTAAATTGTATTAAATTCCCAAATTGCTTTCCATACTTTTTTTTTCCCATTGGTTTCAGTGTTCTTTGACCATCTGTTGCAAAACACTGATAGCTTTATTTGTGAATAAATGGCCTTTGAGAATGACATAAAGGTGTTACTCACCTACATGGTCCTATAGGGGAAATGAATGACACTGGTCTGGCAAGTGGGAGACCTGAGCTCTAGTGCTGGTTCTGCTACTTATAAGCTTTATGATCTCAAACAAATCATTTCCCTCTCAGAGATCCCCGTTTCCTCCTTCATTATACGGAGCTAAAAATAAATACTCTAAAGAACTATTGTGAAGATCTAATGAGACCATAGAGGTGAAGACCCTATGAAAGTGTAAACGTGAAGTACTTTGAAATAGAAAGTTGAAAATAATTCAA